TCCGCACTCAGCTCAACACCTCCTGAGATTGTGCTCCCTGTGGGGCAGGCGGGAAGCATTCGCTGAGCACCTACCATTGTGCCAGGCCCAGACCTTGGGCCTGCTCTCCTCGGCAGCCCCAGCCATCAAGGAAAATGGGCTCCCAGCCTCGACTGCACAAAGAAGGAAACCAGAGCTCAGAGCAGTCCAGGCCCTGGCCCAAGGACACCCAGCCAGGTGGGCACAGCCAGCTCTCCAATCAGCAATGGTGGATTTTAGTCTGCTCCTATGGAATATCAGGTAAAGCAGTTTCCAGTAACCAGAGGCGACAATTTCCAAATTGAGGAAATGTAAAATAAACCAAGCGACCTGGAACCTAAAGGCTTGTGATGAAATGGCAAAGTAAATCTAAGGAAACTCGTCTGGCCTGATTCTGGGAGACAAGTTGACACAGGCCTTGGGCCACTTGCCTTAAAAATGCCAGTGCAAGGCTGCATGAGGGGGCTCACACCTGTAATCCCCACACTTTGGGAGGCCAAGGTGGGCGGATCACCTGAGGTCAGGAGTTCGAGACCAGCCTGACCAACATGGTGAAAACCTGGTCTCTACTAAAAATACAAAATTAGCTTGTGTGGAGGTGCATGCCTGTAATCCCAGCTACTTGGGAGGCTGAGGCAGGAGAATCATTTGAACCCGGCAGGTGGAGGTTGTGGTAAGCCGAGATGGCACCACTGCACTCCAGCCTGGGAAACAAGAGCAAAATTCTGTCTCAAAAACAAGCAAACAAAAACCCCCACGCAGATGTGGGGGTTTTCACACCCACCTCCACTGTGCCCCTGGACACCTCCTTATGCTGTACATTTCATATGCCTCCTCCTAAAAGAGAGACAGCAGGTACCACCCCTCCCCACACCTGTCACCCTCTCCTGATGTTAGATTAACAGACTGTCTCCACTTTCTTTGCTGAAGCTCTGATAGGCCCCGCAACTAGGCCCACGCAGGGAAACCAAATGCATAACTTCCTATGGATGTCATTTCAGCATCATTGACAAACCTTTATTGAAACTGATGTATTTACCCACTGGGGCTGGCCAGACACTTTCCTATTGTGAAAGGAAAATACCTTGGGCCCCCCAAATCACTAAGCAACATGGAAAACTCAAGCTGAAAACTGCTTAGGGCAAACCTGCCTCCCATTCTATTCAAAGTTATCTCTCTGTTCACTGAGATAAATGCATATCCGATTGCCTCCTTCAGAAAGGATAATCAGAAACTCAGAAGAATGCAACTGTTGTCTCTTGCCTACCTGCAATTTGGAAGCCGCCTCCCCGCTTTCAACCTCACTGCCTTTGCTTCAAGTTGTCCCACCTTTCCAGACAGAACCAACGTACTTTTTTTTTTTTTTTTTTTTTTTTTTTGAGATGGAGTTTTGCTCTTGTTACCCAGGCTGGAGTGCAATGGCGCAATCTCGGCTCACCGCAACCTCCACCTCCTGGGATCAGGCAATTCTCCTGCCTCAGCCTCCCGAGTAGCTGGGATTACATGCACACGCCACCATGCCCAGCTAAGTTTTTGTATTTTTTAGTAGAGACGGGGTTTCACCTTGTTGACCAGGATGGTCTCGATCTCTTGACCTCGTGATCCACCTGCCTCGGCCTCCCAAAGTGCTGGGATTACAGGCGTGAGAACCAACGTACTTCTTACGTATACTGATTGATGTCTCCTGTCTCCCTAAAATGTATAAAACCAAGCTGTGCCGGGACCACCGGGCGCATGTTGTCAGGACCCCATGAGGCTGTGTCACAACCTTAGCACAATAAACTTTCTAAATTAACTGAGGCTGTCTCAGCTTTTCTGGGTTTACATGTATATACTGCTTGGCTTACGCTGTGCAGCAATCATTGATAGGGGGTTTTATTCAGGCTGTCAGCCTGGGTGTGCAATTGTGAGCGAGTGATCTAACCTATACCTCAGTTGCCTTAATCTTCGTGACATTCTGATGCAAAGCAAAGTTTGAGAACTACCACTTTAGAGGGGACCGGGTGAGAATCCAGTAAGCTGCCATGGGGGGCGGGGAGGAGAATGCTGCTGATGCCCACCCCATGGCCTCAGGGCCGCCTGGGCTCTTCTCCGGCAGGGAGCAATAAGTGGCCTGGCTGGGATTTGAACCCAGGACGTCTGGCTCCAGAGCCTGGGCTTCACTGTTACGCTCCACAGCCCACACTTGAGGTAGCACAGGTAGTCAAGGAAGTGACCTCCACCAAATCATCAACACAGTAAGCCTCAGCTTTCACACTGTAGTCGGCTCTTCCAAGCACAGTTACCTCCAACCTGCAGACGGCAGGTGCACTGATTTTATCTGTCCTCAGACTCATCCTTTGCTCATTATAAAAAACACACCCTTGGGCGGAGACTTAAGATGCTAATGAGACCTGTGATGTACGAACAAGTGTGCACAGCACCTGCGCACGGGCACCCAGGCCCGGAACATGCTTACTAGTAACGCCTCCTCGCACCCCTTATGAATCATCACATGAGACTCCCAGAAAGGGAGTTTCTGGTAACAGCTGAGGCTGTCTCATCTGCTCTGAATCGTCTCCCAGGGTGTCCTGTCTATTCTGCACCTAACTTTCAGAACGTTCTTTCTCCTTTGCAATAAATCTCTCTATGGGGCATCCCTTTACTTTGAGTCTCTTGTTTAAATTCTTTTAAACTAAAAAGACAAGAACTGAGGTTTCACAACAGCCGTAAACACAGTGAGCAGCATGGTGGGGTGAGCACACCTGCACTAACATTAGAAAGGCTTTCTCTCAAATCCCATCTTCGCTGCTTGCTGGCTATATAAAACTTGAGCAAGATACATGGGCCAGAACAGAGAGGTTATGTAACCAGCCAAGGTCACACAGAATGTTAGCACTCAGGGGAGGATTAGAACTCAGTTTCCTCATGCTCTGCCAGGGATTTGAGTCTCGACTCTTCTGGAACCAGTCATTCCTTTCCTGCCTGCGGGCCCCAAGGCTTTGACAAGTTGAGCCCCACCGTACGCATTTCTGGGGAAAACACTTCTTCACTCCTCATCTGGGAAGGGAGGAAGATGCGGTGGCTCCCTCATGAATCTCATGAGGATCAAACAATCGATGACTGGAGGCACTTAAGATAGGGACTGGCCCTGAACAAAGATCGGTTTCTGGTTAGTTTCCTGTGGCCGCAGTGACAAAGTGCCACACACTGGGTGCATTAAGACAATGAAGTTTCCTCTCTCAGGGTTCTGGAGGGCCTTAGTATGAAAGCAAGGTGTTGGCAGAGCCTCGCCCCCTCCAAAGGCTCTGGGGGCCCCTTCCTGGCCTCCTCTGGCTTCTGTGGCCACAGTGTTCCCCGGCTTTGGCCTCATCCCTCCAGCCTCCCCGCCGTCTTCACACAGCCTCCTTCCCTGAGTCTCTGTGTTTTCTCATGGCCTGCCTATAAGGACACCGCCATTAGAATTGGCATCCACCCGAATCCAGGGGGGCCTAACCAACTGTGCGACCCTAACCGTTCACATCTGCAAAGACCTTATTTCCAAGCATGGCCGCATCCTGAGGTTCCAGATGGACATGACATCTTGAAGGACACTGTTGGGACTAAACTGTGTCCTCCTCCCAAATTCTTATGTTGAAGCCCTGACCCCCAGTATCCAGTGTGACTGTATCTGGAGACAGGGCCTTTAAGGAGGTAATTAAGGTGAGATGAGGTCATCAGGGTGCCTCCACTCTTCTAAGCACAGAGAAATGACCACGTGAGGAGGCAACGGGAAGGCAGCTGTCTGCAAGCCTGGAAGAGAGGCCTCACCAGAAGTCAGTCCTGCTGGCACTGTGGTCTTGGGCTTCAGCCTTCAGAACTGTGAGAGCACACACCTCTGTTGTTTAATCCACCAGTCAGGGGTATGCATCTCAGTAGCCCCGGCAGGTTAACACAGACACGACTGACTCCAGTGCAGCTCCCACCGGACAAGGAGCTGCAATTCCCACCGCTGCATGGGCTTCTCCCAGCCAGGGATGCCTGTGACTCATTTCCACTTGGGCCTGGTCCCATCCAACGCTTGGCTCAGCATCGCCTCCTTTAGCCTGCAGTCCTTGACTTCACCTTCACTGGGAGCCCCTGGCCTGTCCTCTGTACTCAGAAGCAGGGAAGCTGCCACCAGAGACAAAGTGCCCTGGGACATCCTGAGTGCCAGCTGCTGTCTTGGGGCCCCATACGTGGTCAGTTGTCCCAGCACCACCATGAAGAACAATGACTGTCCCCATTTCACAGATGGGGAAACTGAGAGCTAGAGACCAGGGGATGCTCCTGTGGCCAGGCAGAGAGGAAGAGGGGAGCCAGGCCACAGACCCACGCCCTCTCCTCTTCCTGGTACTGCCCAGCACCCACTTGTTGACTCCTTCATAGCCAGCTGTCCATACTCCTGCCTTTCCCACGGCTGAGGATGCTGCCTGAGGCAAGGGCTCTGGCTCACCATGGCACCCTGTGACTCCTGCCCCTAGAGGGCTTGGGCACCCTCTCCTGCTCTCTCAAAGCCAGCCTGCGGGTCAAGTACAGCAGGCTTCACCTGCCCACCCCAGACCTGCATATGGCTGCACACAGAGAAAGAGGCAGTGCTGGCAGGTGACCTCAGACTTTCCCATTTCAGCCCAGCACCCCTCCTTTGTCACTCTACACGGATGACACCCAAAAATCCTGGGCCTGTTTCTCACCTGGGGAGAACTGATTTCCAAAGAGCTTTGCTGACAGGGACATTTAGAGATAAGAGTCCTCAGCACCCCAGAAATGGATGGGGCCTCTGAGAGGCCCGAGGCAAACTGCCTCAGTTTCTGATGTGGACAAGGACCCCATGGAGAGGACATGGCCTGCCTGAATCACTGGCCAACGAGTGCCGGGGTCGGGCCTGAACCACCGCTGGGATCCCCGGCCAGGAGGATGTGAGGTTCTCACACACACACACAGACCCTGGGGCTTCTCTGCCGGTCCCCGCAGAGGCCATGTACCTGGCAGAGTGCAACCGCCGCCTCGGTGGCTCTCACATTCTCCTCTTCCTCCAGGTCGCACCGCAGCAGTCTCTGCCTTTCCAGGACCTCATGGAAAGCCTGCGAGGAAAGCAAGAGCTGAGTCTGGTAGAAACATGCAGGGTTTTTTTTCCCAGAAGGTTCCCCAACCATCCCTGCATCTCAGATCAGAAAGAAGGATGTTGGCCCCTGTATTACACACAAGGAAACTGAGGCATGGGGCTGCCACACGGCTTTCACAGCTGACGCCAGGGCCAGCAAATCCAATTGCCAGGAAATACCACAAACCACGCTTCTGTTAAACCCAGGATGAGGAAGGGCCACTTAACTACGTCTGTCACCCTTTTGTCCTGGCCACAGCCACCCAGACATCAATTTCTGATTTCCGCTGCTGGGAACCACCACGCAGACCACGGGAGACCCACCAATGGGGGCCAGCAGGGGTGATGCAGACAGGCGACTGGTGGGGCAACCAGCCAGCCCCACTCTGACCACATGGTGGAAGCCCTTCCCTGAGGACTCCAGCAGAGCAGCAGGAGACTGGGGCCAGCCCCAGGCATCAGCAGAGAGAGACCCAGCTAGCCCTAAGCAGACCATCCGAGGCCCCAGCATCAGCATAGGGAGACCCGGCCAGCCCTAGGCAGAGCATCAGAGGCCCTGGCATCAGCAGAGGGGTGAAGCAGGGTGGAAGGACAGAGGAACAGACCCTTCTCAGGGAAGGGCTGCAGGAGAAAATTCCCTGTTGGGAGAAGTTTCAGTAGAGTCTCTAAGGACAAGGAAGGGCTCCCTGAGGGAAGATGAGGAGCCAGGCTCAGGAAGTAGCAGCAGAGGCCAGGAGGTTAAGACCCCCTAGGACCTGTGGGAATGCTACAGGCAGGAGGTGAGGTGAGAGAGAAGGGTGGGACTGGGAAAAGGCAGGTGGTAAGTGTGTGCTGGGAGCCGGGTGTCATTCATTCATTCTCCCATCCATTCCATCCTTCTTTCATTCACTTTATTTGCCAGTTTCATGCATGCATTCACCCTTCCCTGCCTGTGTCCCACGTGTCCTGAATGCCAGCACCAAGGCCTGTGCTGAGGCCCTGGGACACTGAAGTCACCCAGGGACTGTCTCCATACTCTGGACTCACACTGGGCTTTGTGGCATCATGGACAGTGGCCCAGAAATCTCTAAGTGACAAGGAACTGAATAGGCTTACCTTCCTCTTATTTCAAATGTATCTTCTCAAAGACAGAAACACCCATCCTACCCCTTTGTGGCAAACCCAGAAGCTCCCAGTGTAGTTCTGGAAGAGGCTACCTGGGTGAGGGAGGCAGCTGGACCAGGGACCTCGAGGCCTCTCCTCTGTTCTCAGGGACTCCTTCATTGGCTTCTCAAGAAGTGGTGCCACCACCACCAGGTTGGTCCCCCGAGAGGGCCCCTGGGCCTCTATTCTGGGCTGAGCCTGGACCCAGACATGGTACCACCCACTCCTTGGCAGAGCTGAGATGCCCTGTACCAAGTGCTGATGGAGGGTAGGTGGACCTGGGCAAACTGTGAGGCTGGGCTTCCCCGTCCTGTCTCACTGAATCTTAATAATGCCGTGATATAGGTGCCATTATGCCCATTTCACAGATGTGGAAGCTGAGGGCCAGAGGGTGAGCAATGTGCCAAAGGTCACCCAGCTATTGGCAGAGTCAGCACACAAACCCAGGTGTGGCCGGCCTCAGTGCCCAGTGCTTAACCAGCGTGCAAGATGGTCACAGATGAGCTGGCCCTCCCCCAGCCCCACTGCCCATTACCAGGGTAAGCAAGCAGAGCGAAACCAGAGCTGGGCGGTCTCCCTGAGAACTGGCCAGCCCAGGTCCTTGGTGCCTGCACCGGGGCCAGCTGACTCCTGTTCCTTGGAGGGTGATGTCTTGCTTTCTGTCCTCCTTCAGGTTTCTTGTCCCCTTCTCAGGGAAAACCAAGGGTACCTTTGAGCTTGGCCACCTCCTGCCCACTCAACCCCACATGCAAGGCTGGGAGCTCCCTTCCTTCTCCTGGACTTGCAGCCATCCCATGGGGCCCTTTTCCTGGGTGTGTGAGCCTGCCTTACTCTCCAGGACACACTTGTCCCCTCTGGTCCACACATTTCTCGCTTCATGCCATTGTCACCATCTGTGCATCCCTGCCAAGCTCTCCACGGATCCTACCCTCCTCTTCTCAGCAGCCCTGTGACAGCGGCACGACTCTCAGCACTGGCTTACAGTCCACTAGGACACTAGGGGCGCAGGGGCTAAGGGACTGAGATTCGGTCACTCGGCTGTCCCATGGGAAGAAGGGAGATAACCTGACATCTGATGAACACCTCGGGCTTCCCATGCTCAGTGAGGGGAACAGCGCTCACCCCATATGCAGGGGCTGGAGGTGTGGGTCACCTTAAGAAACTTCTCCGGGTCAGCAGTTGTCTGGGCCTCAGCCAGGAAGCATCTCCGTTCTTCCTCTTGAGCCAGTGTGAGCTTTGCCGTCCCCTCCACCTGGTGAGCCAGAGACGCCTTGACCAGGTCTTTGCCTTGTTGGACAAACTCTGGGATTGAAAAAAGCCACAGGACAGGTGAGTGTCCAAGCCGGACTTTCAGTGGGGATCCACATGCTTTCTCCTGTCCAGAGGTTGGGGAAGCTGGTATTGGCTGCAAAGATGATGCCCACCCTGTCGGTGACACACCTGGGTTTCTTTCTAAGGGTCTGCTAGTAGTGTGACCTCAGCTAAGTCCAGATGCCTCTATGTCTCCAGCCTTGCCCCACCAGCATCCCAGGGCCAGCCTTGGGGCAGGAGCACGCATGGGACACATGTGTAACTCAGCCACACCAGGCTCCCCTTCCTGCCCCTGACGTTGGACCTGGCTCACCCTCGCCCACCCTGTGGCTGAGCAGGCTCATGTGACTCCGGCAGGACCATAAGCTGCCGCTGGGTGACACAGGCCATTCTGTAGGTTTCTGGTGCGAGACCCTCCACCCTCCTCTGTCCCTCTGCATTTCCTGGTGCCTTTGCTCCAGGACACGGGGACTCAGTCAGCCTGAATCCCTGGTAAGGGAGTGCAGCAGCTGACCCTTGTCCTGGGCAGTGGCCGTCATGGACTCTATTGTACAGAGAAGGGAAGAGAGGCCTAGAGGGCAGTCCAGTGACCCAGTCCCTGGGGCAGAAGTGGACTGCTCCAGGCTCCCAGCCCACCCCGCATAGCCCCAGGGACCCAGAAGGCCAGTGTTGTGGACCACGGGGCACATGCCCACGCTCACCCCTGCGTCGTGGACCATGGCGCCCCTGCCCACATTCACCCCTGCATTATGGACCACGATGCCCATGCCCACGCTCACCCCTGCGTTGTGGACCACGGAGCACATGCCTACGCTCACCCCTGCGTTGTGGACCACGGGGCACATTCCCACGCTCACCCCTGCGTTGTGGACCATGGGGCACATGCCCACGCTCACCCCTGTGTTGTGGACCACCGCGCCTGTGCCCACGCTCACCCCTGCGTCGTGGACAATGACACCCATGCCCACACTCACCCCTGCATCATGGACCACGACGCCCATGCCCACGCTCACCCCTGCGTCGTGGACCATGACGCCCATGCCCACACTCACCCCTGCATCATCGACCACGATGCCCATGCCCACGCTCACCCCTGCATCGTGGACCACGACGCCCATGCCCACACTCACCCCTGCATTGTGGACCATGGCGCCTGTGCCCATGCTCACCCCTGCGTTGTGGACCACGATGCCCATGCCCACGCTCACCCCTGCTGAAGCACTCTGCCTCCTGCCAGAAGGCCTTGTGCTGCTGCGTGAGCAGCTCCTCCTTCTGCCACCCGGACAGCTTCCCCTCACCAGCCAGCAGCTCCAGGCCATGGGCGATGGCAGCCAGCCGGCACCTGGTCTCCTCCTGGACCTGCAGCCTCAGAAACTCGATCACCTTTGCCATGTGCGCCCGCCCCATCGTCCTCTCCAGGATGTCCTGCAGGAAGAAACACACAGGACCACAGTTAGGGCATCCTGGGAACCGTTCAGCTTCCCGCAGAGCAGCTTAGAGGAATGAACTCCCCTTCTCCTTCATGAGTGAGACCTGGGTCTGCCCCTGATGTGGGGATTAATGCCTCTCCTAGGGTGCGGGGAGGCTGACGCCAGGTAACACATGGCAGTTTGTCCCCAGTGAGCGTACCCCAGAGGGCCACTCTCTCGGGAAGGAATCCAGATTTGCAAATGGTCAAGGAAAAAAAGGCACCTTTCTTACAGTCACCTTCCCCAGCTAATCTGACCCTGTGGCCCCTATAGGACGGACGAGGAAATGCGAAGTACCAGCTGTCCCTGGCTTCCAAGCCCCAGAGAGCCTGACTGCTGCAAACAGCCAAGATTTTCTGGGAAATGATTGGCTTCCAACACGACTCCCTGCAGTCAGATTCTACAGCAGGCCCTCCCTGTCCCCACCTCATCATTTCGTGGACTCAACTCTTGGGAAAAAAGGGAAAATGTCAACCCGAGGCAGCCAAGGGCCCTGCACACCCAAGAACAGCTGCTGGTGGAATGAGTAAGGGAAAGGAGGAGCAGGCGGCAGGCCTCGGTATCTCCCTGGCACAGACTCTGCACCCCCGACTCCCAGCCAGGCCCAGCTCATGCCTGGGCACGTCTGTGCTGGGCCAAGGCCAGGGGCCAGTCCTGTTCCCCAGCCTCCCATCTCTGCGCTAAGCTCCAACTCCGCCTTGCAGACCAGGGGATCTTTCAGAGATGCTGATGGTTCTGTTAGCTCTGGCCCCAAACCCTCCTGTTGCTGCCCCAAGATCAAGTCCAGTGCCCCAGGCATGGCACAGGAAGCTCTGTCGGGCCTTGTCCCACGAACCTGCCTGCTCCTGGCTGCCCAGCCTCTGCACATGCGGGGCCGTCCTCCTGGAATACCCTCGCTGCTTCCTCTCACTCCCCTGTCCGGCCAGGTCCTTCTCATCCTTTCGGGCTCTGTGGCCATTCCCTGCTCATCCCCTCCCTCACTGGTCCCCTGCTCTGGGCTCCACTGCCCCAGGGCTCCCATCTTCGAGGAGGTGATTGTGAGTGGCAGTCCCAGCCTGGTCTGAGAGCCCTTGAGGACAGGAGCCAGGCGTGGGTCACCCTTGTCCCCTTGAACAACCATGGCCTTGCTGTGTGCTGAGCTGCACTGGCCTCTGTTCCCACAACACAAGATCATCCCCAGTGACGGACAGGGATGCTGAGGCTCATTCCAGCAGCCTGTGCCCCTTAGGGGGCGCAAGAGGATAAGCAGAGGTGCCAGTGGGCTGCGGGAAGGGCGGCTGTGGCCACCTCTAAGGAGCACATGTGGATGCTGAGAACCCAGCACAGGCCAGTGGGGTGGGCAGTGGTGGCACAATAGATGGGGTTATATTGGAGGGAGGATGGGAGTAGAGAGAGGTGCACGAGAAGAGGGACGTGGGATGGGGGATGAGGGCCCTGACCTGCTCTGAGTGTGGCTGAGTCCTGGACAGCACCGGGCTCAGACTTGGCTCCCAGGACCTGGCACAGGCTCCTCACCTGACCCCTGCTGCACAGATCTGACATGAGGGTTAAGTAAGTCAGAATTCGTAAAGCATTGAGAGCAACAGCCATGGCACGGTGAGCTCCCTGAGGGTCAGCCCTTTCCATCATTATCAACAGGCAGTCCCCACATCTGTCTCGGCAGCTGTTTTTTTCCTGTGTGTCTCAAGAAACTGAATCTTATGACTGTCAGGGTCCCTTTGAAGGGCTCTTCCAGTTTTAATATCCAGAGATGCACATTCCAGCTCCAAACGTCCAGGCCAGAAAGATCAGATGCCGCCCTGGGAATTTCAACTCTTCTGTGTTCTGAGATACAGGGACCATCTTTTTCCCCTCTGATGCCCCATATGCAGGCACAGTGAATCCATTCCTCTTCTGTAGAGACACAGACTGTACCCCGTCCACACCTCATTACAACAATTTGCTGTCATCTATTGCTCCTGCTGACACGTGGCCTGTGGGACCCTAATGACTGACAAGTCCTGAGTGCTGCCTACACGGTGGGCTCCGCTCTAAAAACTCTACATACTGTGGAGTCTTCAACACTCTCAGCTACCCTGTGAGACAGCAGGTTCTCTTACAGTCCCCATTTCACAGACGATGAAACCAAGTCACAGAGAGGTTACATTATCTACCCAGATCACACAGCTAACAAGTGGCAAGACTGCAGTAGGAGTTCCAGTTTCTTCCCCGAGTCTGCATTTCTAACCTCTGCAATATGGTTTCCATAACAGCATGTGGCAAACAGTAGGTGCTCATTAAACACTGGCTGAAGGATCGTCATGCTGTTAAACTGGATGAACCCTTTCCTTCTTACTATTTGGAAGTTATTGACTGATACTCTGGCCAGAGTCAGTTAACGATCTATTTCCTTTTTTCTGCATCAATATCCTGCTGGCAGCAAAAGAAAAAAAAAAGGAAGAAAAGGCTTTCACCTTTGCAGAGCATTAATATTGAGTCAGCAGCCTTATCAAACTGAAATCCAATTCAAACGGGCTTGGGCAGCAAACCAGGAAGCTTCAGGCCCAGGCTCAGCGATGTCATTAGACAGGACGGGGATGTTAGGTGGGTAACTGAGTGGGCTCCTTATCTGTGTGCTGTGAATAAAATATCTCCCATGCCCATCTTTTGATAGTGTTGAGAGAAAAAGAAGACCCTGTGTGCACATGCTGAGAAAAAGCATATGAAGATCTTAAACAACTGTGTGGACATGGGGGTCTTGTTGAAGTGCAGATTCTGCTCAGGAGGGGTGGAGGGCAGGATTCTGCCTTCTAACCAGCTCCCAGTGTGGCCGATGCTGTGGTCTGTGGATCACACCTGGAGGAGCAGAGCGGCTTCAGAGAGGCCTGTGGTGTGCAGGGGTGGCAAGGATCTGCTGAGGCTTAGCTTTCCCATGGGTCTGAAGAGCTGAGTCTGTGCTGAGGGCGGGGCGGCCACTGGAGGGTTCTGAGCCAAGCCGCCACATGGGCTGGTGCACAGGACAGGGAAATGGCTGCAGAGCCAGCATCAGAGGGCTCGTGCACACTGGCTGGCACACACAGGACGACCCCAATGTGTACCAAGAGAAACCAAACAGAGACTAGGGTGTTAGGAGTCACTCAGCATCTACCCAGGCCTGTCTGTGGCAACTCTTAGCACTATTATTTTATAAATAGAGTAACAGACACTCAGAGAGTTAAGTCATGTGTTCAAGATCACACAGCTCCGAACAACAGAGCCCAGGGTCAAAGCTGGATTTGCAGATTTCTCTCCCATGGGTGTCCAACCCTTTGAATGTGAGGACGTTTTTCACTTATGGCAGGCTTCACAAAAATATGCAGAAATCTTTTTTTCTTATTTGCTCATCGGCTATCATCAGTGTGGGTGTATTTTATGTGTGGTCTAAGACAATTCTTCTTCCTCCAGTGTGGCCCAGGGAACCCAAAAGTTGGACATCCATGCACCAGTGGTTCGTATCCCTGGCCTGCCAGCAGAATAGTTTGGGGAGTTTTAAAACCCACAAGGCCAGGGCCTCCACTCCAGACCAATCAGATCAGAACCTCTGAGAGTGAAGGCCAGGAAAAGGCATTTTTAAAGAACTCTGTGGAAAAACAGGGCAGTCAGGAGAGTAAACCAATGCTCTATCTACACCAGTGGGCATCAACCCCAGTGCTCACTGTTGTCATCAGGGAGTTCTAAAAACCCCAGTGCCCAGCTAGGTTGCATCCCAGTCTGATTAAGTCAGAAACTCTGGATAGACACCCATCTGGGGCCCAGGAATCAGTACTTTTTAAAGCTCTCCAGATAATTTCAACGTGTAATTTCAGGTTTAGGACCAGAGTTCTATGCTGTAGTAATACTGAGCTGGCCAGAGCCTTCACTCATTGAACAGACGGATGGATAGATGGATGGATGGACGGACACACAGACGGATAGGTAGGTGGATGAATGGGTGGGTGGGTAGATGGACGGATGGGTAGGTAGACAGATGGGAAGGTGGATGAATGGGTGGGTGGGTGCATGGATAGATGGATGGATAGGTAAGTGGATGGATGGGTAGGTGGATGGATGGCTAGATAGGTGGGTGGGTGAGTGGGTAGATGAATGGTTGGATGGATGAGTGGACAGGTGGATGGATGGATGGATGGATAGATGGATGGATAGATGGATGGATGGATAAGTAGATGGATAGATGGATGGGTGGGTAGTTGGAATGGTAAATGCATGGATGAATGGGTGGATGGATGGGTAAGTAGATAGATGGGTAGGTGGGTGGATGGGTGGGTGAGTGGGTGGGTGGGTAGATGAATGGTTGGATGGATGGGTGGGTGGGTGGATGGATGGATGGATGGATGGATGGGTAGTTGGAAGGGTAAATGGGTGGATGAATGGGTGATGGATGGATAAATTTACTGGGTTTTTTTTTCCCTGGGGCTCCATACATCCAGCTACAACATGAATCTGTTAGATTTGATAATGTCAAGCGTTGGGATTCCAAATGTCTAGTCTGAATATCTTCATGTTCCCTCCTGCCCCCTCCAGCATTACCAGAGCCTGCAGCTCCTGAGAATCACGCAATAGCCCTTCGGCTGCAATCATTCTTTCCGTCAGAGTCATCATGAGCTGCCGGGCTTTGGAGCTGGAACACTTAAATTGGTCCACAAGAAGGTGCTGGATGTTTTCCATCTGTTTCCAGAAAGCTTCCATCTGTGAAATGAGCAAAAGCAGAAAGAAGGAGGGAAAAACTTACTTAAGAAAGCCAAATGGGTGCATGCTTGGGAATTACAATTCATTCCTTATCACAAACAAAGATTCTAAACAATTCTACAATTTCAGTGAGTTTATCTTGGCAACAATCACATTCTACAGTAAAGTTCTTTCTGGTTCCATCGCAGGAGCCAGTTTTGTGATGGCTTTTCAGCAGACACAAAAGCACTGCTGCTAAGGAAAGAAAGCAGTAGCTTCTCCGGCCTACAGACTCTTGCACGGGTCATTAAGCTACCGAGGGGCAGATTAAACGTGAAAATGTGCTCCTGGAAGCTTTGGGAATTTTAAAAGGGATTAAACACTTCCTGGAAATAAAAGCATAAACAGACATTTAAATATTAGTTATTGTCCTGAAAGCACAAAAGTTTAACATGGCAGAGACGATGCCCACCATGAAAACCTTTTGCTTTAAAATAGTTTTCCTCCCTCCTCCTCATTTTATCGGGAGCAGAGCTGGGAATCCCCAAGTGGCTTAGAATGCAGGAGGTTTAACTGCGTCATTGCAGCCAGTCAGAGCTCGAAGGACAATGATACTAGGGAGCCGAACAACTTTCCCTCGTGGCCCGCAGGCTGTTCGCACATTTGATGTCTTGATAGGTTTGTACCAGGAGAGGTAGGAACAGGCTCAGGGAAGTTAGGTCACTTGTCAGCGGTCATGTAACCAATGAGAGCCAGGATTTGGTTCAGGTCCATTTCACTCCATGGCTGGGATTGTCTCCATCTTGGCTCAGCCTCTCAGAGGCTGAAATGGACACTTCTGGCTGGACCAGGCATGGGACGGGGCAGGGGTTAGTGGCACCCGAAACCCATGCGGATCTTGTTGCTGTGACTAAAGGTCATGGTACCTGTAAACTTGTAACCTTTCTACTCTGTCACTGCGGCGTCTGTCTGGCTCTGCCACGGGGAAGCCTGCACCCAGATGAACGCTCTCCCATTGGTGCGGCTTCCCATCTCAGGACCCCCATGCCTCCCAGTAAACCCCATACATGCTGCTGGTCAGCTCCTCCTCACATCCCTGCCAGGAGGGACCTCACACCTGCCTGACACCCTCATGCTGTCACCCTGCTCTTCCCCTTGGGGCCATCAGATGACCTGCCTTCCACCTGCCATGCGACTACAGATTGTCACCCACCAACTCTGCATACCCCTCTCTGCTTACAAACTCCTGATTCTCTTGGCATCTGTGACACGACTTTTTTCCTGCTTCTGCAAAGCCCATCCAATTCCTCCCCCGCTTTCTTGTCCTGATTCTTCCCATCCCCTCCTCCTTAAATATGGGCAGGATCCAAGATTTGGCCCCAAGATCTTATCTCTTCCCATTTTACACACATTTCTATGCTAGAGGCATCTCCATTTTTGGAGGTCACCAATACTTCGGAGAATCTTATGAAAACTCTGAGCCCTCTCCCTGAGAAATGCAGACACGGACAAGATGCTGCCCACAGCGTTGGGGATTCTGTGGACCACTGGAATCCAGGCTGTGCCCACAGTTCTAAGAACATTCTGACCCTTCAGGTCCTCTAACCTGGGTTCTCATGGAGATCCTGCATCTCTAGGCCTCTCCTGTCAATACTGGACCTACTCAGAGGAGAGGAGCACCTGCCCCCTCCCTCCCATGCGCTTCTCACTCTGGGACCCTTATTTCAGTAGCACTGACGCTGGACCCCTCCTCCTCCCCACCTGCTGCCCCACGGTAAACCACCACAGCTTCTCTCACACTTTTCCTTACCTGTCCGTCCTACTGCAGTTGCCTTAATAAAGTTCCTGCTGGACTAGCCCAGTAGACCTTCACCAGCCTCCACTCAGTGCCTGGGCAGCCTTTCTAAAACAGGCGCTGAACCCAGCCACCCCCTGCTTCAAAGCTTCGGTGCCTCCCACCTCCGTGGCATAAGACACAAGCCCTCCGGCCAGATCTCTCTAGCTTTACCTCACCTCGACTTGCTCTCAGCCCTCCTTACCTCCTGTCCCCGCCCCACCCCTGGCCAGCACCCACACTTCTCCCGACCAGCCTCTCCATGCTCCCTTCCTCTATGGAGGCTTTCCTGAACCTGGGGTAAACAAACGCTTCCCTCCACTGTGCCTGCCTCGGGCTTCTCCTCTTTCCTTCTGTCACAAGATGTGTGGCCCCATGACGCCTCATCTGCTCACCTGTTGGTCTCCCCTGGCACCTCTTAGTCAAGGCCATGTCTAAATGACTTTTACGTCCCCAGTGCCCAGCATAATGCCTAGCGAAGAGCGAGTGCCCAGGAAATATTTGTTTAATACATAACATATGAACAGAGGGTGGTGGAACCCAAGAGAAAAGAAAAAAGTGTTTCAGGGAAGCCATTCCTTCTGCAATTTAAAGCACTTTCACGAGCGGCGCCTGGCAGCTTTCATCTACTCTGCTCCAAAGGGCGGTGAGGACAGCGAAGCTTATAGCCATCTTTGCTTTGAATAATAAAAAGACCAATCTGAAATTTAAATGAGGATAATTCACGACATAAAAAATAAACCTCTCTTTGTGAATCTTTGCTGCTTAATTACTTCTTCCCTTTCACTTAGCATCAGAAACTGGATCCTGCCTCCTGGGCAGAATGTGATGGGGTGCTCCAAGTATTAGGCGCAATTCTAACTCTCATCTCTTTAATTTAATCAATTTAACTGTTTTTGAAACCAGTATTTGTGTACAGGAAAGAAGGTCCAGCACGCACATTATCGATCAGCTGTTCAGAGTATTCTCGCTCCTTCTTTTCCACGTCGGCCAGGGTGATGTACTCAGAGTCACCAGCCCCTGACATTTCTGTGTTTGACAGTTTGACCTGAAGTCCCTTTTCTAATTCCTCCAAATCCTAGAGAAGAAAAAAAGAAGCAAATAAACAAAGAAAAAAAGTATTGTGTCTTAAATTCTAGAAAAATAAATGTTCTTATTTTTCACCAGATTATTACAAAATATTTTAAAACAATGATGAAATGCTCTGGGCATTGTTGTACATGAGATTTGATAATAAACCTACAGGCAACAAATCGAGCTTCAAGAATAATGGGTTATTTTCTTCTGTATCCTCCTGCAAACAAAAAAGTTAGACCATACTTTAAAAAAAAATCAATAAAATAGTATCTTTCAATCATTATAAAGTCCTGGAAAATATCATGACATCTGGTGGGTTGGGAAGGAATGTTTCTTCCCTCCTCTTCTGGTTTTCCTGGAGAAAATTTACTCACGACACCCCAGGACAGGAAATAGTGTATATTCGATTGGTTGGTTCAAAACCCGGAAGCTTGCCCAGCCTCTTCCTGTTTTTGATGGGCCAATCAGGGGAGGCGCATTGCTCTGGTGTGGTCTCAGCCTAGAGTGGGCTGGGTAGCCAAGACCTTGTTTCTCTGTGGGGAAGCCTAAGATGGCCCAGCATTGCCTGTGACTAGCTAGGCAATTGAGTGATTGAGTGATTTCTGGGATTCAGTATTAGGAAGCCATGGTAGCTGTGATTCTAAGCCACGCCCTCCAAGCTGGCCTCTACTCAGTAATAAAGCTACATTTCTATATCTGGCTTCTTGACTGTCTCAACTGATTCTGAACTCAGGAAGGAAAAGGGGCATTCTAAGTATAGAGTCCTACAAACCCCAAGATGGAGTGTGGGAGGCAGTTCTACTTTCTCTATGTTCATTGCCACATAGCCAATAGTGTGGCATCAGTCCAGGTTCATCAGGAAAACTAACGTTGATGTAAACTACGATTGAGGACTCAAGCTGAGGCCACAGGTAATTTGTAATCCTCACAGCATCTTTGCAGGAGAGAAATTATGACCCTTTTCCAGGTGGCAAAGCTGGTTTATGGAAGGTAAGATAGTTTGTCCAAAGACTCCCAGGCTGGAAGGGGCAGTGCTAGCCTTGTCCTTACTCTTCCAAATTCTGGGTACTTCTCATCCTCTTCTGAAAGTTTTAAGGTTATTGCAAGTGTTAAATAAAATTGTGCATTTTAATTACTTGGCTAGACTGTCTCAATAAATACTAGCCACTATTATAAATACGTTCAAACAGCCTTGTTTAAATGGTAGAGAAGGGATTTGATCTGAGGTCTGCAGACTCCAAAGTTCTTATTTTTTCCATTATAACAGACAGTATTGTTTCATTATTACTAATGAAATGATAAATGTCATCATCATTATCGTTTTTGCCATTGGAAAGTCATTTAAACTCATGGAGCCTCAGTTTCCTCAGCTGTAAAACAAAAATAATAATGGCCACTCACAGGGCTATCATAACTATTAAATGAAATAATGTATGCCAAGTACCGTATGCATTGCCTGAGGACCATGACCATGGTGGTGGTACTGAAGATGACAATGAAGACAATGATGTCTTTCCTCCTTCCTGGGATGCAGTGAGTCATCCTTCTTCATGGAATCCAGTGGAGTAAGGAAGAAACATTCCTTCCCAAACCCCCAGGTCTAATGGTGATAGTATCAAGGATGATAAGGATGATGATGATGATGATGATGATAAGGACTCTAATGAAGATGAAGGTAGAGGTAGAAGATGAAGATGGAGAAGATGGTGGTGCTGAGGAGACGATCGCAATGATGCAATGATGATGGCAATAACAATTATGATGATAATGAAAATGATGGTAGGGGATGAGGAAGAAGAGGCTGGTGACAGTAGAGTCGGAATAATGATGATGGTGGTGAGAATAAGGTAAGGCAGGAGACCGGCAGGACTGTTTTCTGATCACAACCCTGCTGATCAAAACGGGATCTGGTCCAGACAGGATAAAGTGAAGAAACCAGCAGGAACCAGTGGATGGTGATGAAAGTGATCCCTTGCTGTCCTCATTGCTAATTACCTTGCTGCCCTCATTACTCATCAGCATAACACATTCCCAGCAGCACAACCACAGATTACAAATGCCATGTCAACTGTAAGGCCGGTTGCCTCGCTGGGAGGTTGGACACCCCCACCTCTTCACCTGGCACCAGGCTGCACCTAGCTCTGCCGCATGGCTCCCCTGGAAGGCTCCAGCTGATGCAAGGCTCCTGGCTGGCTCTCCCACTGGAAAACCCACCCAAAAACCCGCCAACCAATAGCGGCCTGCCCTGTCTCAATCCCGCTCCCCTGGAGTTAATCAGAGCACCCAGCTGTTGCTCGTTCCTTCTAGCCATAAAAACCCCACGCCCCAGGAATTTGGTGCAACTTCCCTGGCCCCTTTCCCTGGGACCATGGAACCTCACCTGGGAGCTGAATAAATTGGATTTTCATTTTCTTATACTGGCCTCAGTTTCCTCATTTTAAACTCGGCAATAAACCTTAAATTTGGTGCCAAAACCCCGCCAGACTAGGAGCCTCTCGCCCCGAGGTAAGACTTTTGTTGCCCATAACTTTTCCTGCTGCCTGCTCTCTGGACTCCCTGTTTGTAATCACTGCATGAGGAACTCCTCTCTTGCCGTGGGCCTGGGGCCCTGGCCTCGTTCCGAGGACCTGAGTGTAGCGGATATGTCCCTACACTCTTGTCTTCTCCCCGTAAGGGGTCTCTCAAGGCCAGGAATCTGAGGGAGATGTCCCCACCTTCCTGAACCCTCTCATAGTCTCAGGTGTTCAGTGGGATGGCCCAGGACGCTGAGCCGCCCTTAGGAGCCCATTTACTAACACCAAACCTCTGGCTCTCAATCTCCAACTCGCCTTTTGGTGAGCTGGCTCCCGTCTAGGTATTTTTGCTTTCTCCTCCTGTTCCCGAGTGAGTGAGTGTATGACTGAGTTTACCCTCCTAGCAGCCCATTTTATCTCTCAGTCAGCACCAGATATTAGGAAGAAACTGAAAAAGGCAGAGGAGGGCACCCAAACAGATTCTGTATTGCCTTCCTACTCAAGACCTAGCATACCTTCCCAGGTTTCAGTCATGGGAATTAATGGAAAGCCTTCCTGTTCTAATCAAACCCATCCTTTAGCCTGTGTCCGCGAGGGACACCCCCTTTCCCACTCCTTTTTAATCATACCCTCGTGCCCAGTCCCCCTTTTAGGACTAGACATTCTCCACTTGGTGGAAACCACTCTCTAACTCACAGGCACCCCACACCCAAGCCCATCATCCACCCATCTCCTACTGCCACTCTTAACCAATGTCACGCCCCATCTTAACTCCTCGCCCCAACCCCCTATCCCTCCTGATGTAGTTAATCCCCTGATATGGGATACCTAACCTTAACTAAGTTTATTAATGCCTCCTTCCTATCGCCTTGGTCCTGCAGTTAGAAGTGTCCTATCCCTCCTCCCACCCTCCCCTGGTCACCAGGACAAACAAGCAGTTTTCCTCCCAATGGTCGTTGGTCTCTCTCTAGCATCCTCTCTAGCGGCAACCAGACTGGGTAGTGGCACCCTGGACTACAGTGTCATTTCAGCTGCCCAAATAGAAGACAAGCTCTGTGTGGCTACTGAGGCGTCAGTCACCTCCCTGGCCTCCCTCCAGCAATAAATCACCTCACTGGCCCAGGTAACTGATGGTGGTGGTGGTGGTGGTGGTGGTGGTGATGGTGATGGTGGTGATGGTGGTGGTGGTGGTGGTGATGGTGGTGATGGTGGTGGTGGTGATGGT